ATAACCATCAGAGTACACCCCAGTATCACAAATTCCCATCGTAATCAGATGATTTGTTGGAACATATTATTCAACACAAGCGATTCCATTCCTATCAGAATTCACTTATCAAGATCCTAAAACCACCCAGATTGGTTTATATTTTACTTAGTAGAAACAATTTCTCTACCATATGGGTTTAGGCCTATAACAGTCCTTTTTTTTTGCTATCTCAAATTGAACTTTTTTTTTCTCTCAACTTTGCAAGAGTTATTCTGCCAAAAACATTTTCAAAAGTAAAGGTATTTTATTTATTCAAATTGATGGGTTTAATATTAAATAACAATCTATGGAAGGATTTTGATTCATATACAAAGATGAACAGCAAAAATTATCTTTGTTTGAGATTTCCCATCCCCTCCCATTTTTCCCCCAGTCCCTAAATACAGAACGCATTCTACAGTACTGTATGTCATAACTGGCAAAACCATAGAATGTAGTAGGCTGATTCAAGCATTATACAGCCATTATTATTTACATTATTTTATGAGTTACGTGGCTTCATCACTAAGGATTTGGCCTTCAAACATGAATTACAGTACGCTGTTTATACAAAAGCATATGGATACAACCTGTTGTTTCAACACAAGTACAGCGCATTCTATTGAGCGTCTGTACAAGAGGTATGCCCTCTTTAACAGCCAATCACATGATGGAATGTTACATTTTATCAGTAAGCCTTTCAAAAATGAACAAGTAGGGAGACAACAATAAAATAACAGCCGCTTACAAAATGTAAAAGAAAATACCAAACATCTGCTAGGGTTGATCGTCCCATGCAGCCATTTTGGTAAAATATACACTATTTGTAATGATGTAAATAAAAATAAGGAAACAAACAAAGCAAATCCAGGAGTTTTCTTTAAAGAGAACTCAAAATATATACTTTTTAAATTCTTTTCAGGTAGAAAATTTAGGGACTTTATTAATGTCCCCTAAAGGATAGGCGTTGCACTTTTGCTACATTCTCTAGAGTTAAAAATATCATTATGATTTAGGGAGCCCAGAAAATTGGATTTGGTTTCTATTATAATATTCATTCAATAATCCACTGTACCCTAAAACGCTATATGTACATCATGGATGGAGGGTGTTTATATAGTTCTTGTGTATTGCTTTAATGTTTACCCAAAAATATTTACAAGCAATAGGACACATAATACCATGAGCAATAAAATTCATAACAGGTGTTTGAAAATTCAAGTTTGCTTGTTTACAAACTTTCAACAGATTTGAAGACGACGTCAGCTTCATAAAGACATATGGACACACATTCATGGATTGTAAAGGTTCTTATTGCTTTACAGCAGAGATGATTCCATTATTTTTAAGGGTGTTTTGAATTGAAAACAATGGAAATTGTTGGTTTATTCACTACATACACTAATTAATCTGTATTTAGCGACTTGCTACATGAATGTAAATAGATTAAAAGCAGTAATTTGCAATAATATATTATTTATACTTGAACTTAGGCTATGTTCTCACACGGCTGCTAACGGTTAGCAAGATCCGGATCCTGCTAACCGTTAACTGCCATGATGATTGAATCACTGGACAATAAGAAACTGGAAATTGTAAACATGTACGTGTGATTGGTTGATGATAGAAACGTGCTCACTTGCTAACTGTTAGCGGTATCCGGATACTGCTAACGGTTAGCTCCCAATCCGGATACTAGGGCTCTTGTGAGAACCAGGCTTATATCTAATTCATTATTATCTTCAATAATGACTTCAATAATGACCCCATAAAGAATCAAAATATTCATTGAATCCCAATACGATGGCATGCAGTATATTTTAATCTTTCGTAATAAATTATTGCCCATGAATACCAATCTGTGTAACTAGTATGTGCAACAAGTCAAATCCTAAAATAAGAACTCACATTCTACCTGGCTTTTGTTTTACGACCATCTTTATGCTGGTTTTATGTTTATGTTAAATTGATGGTTTTTTAATTGTACAGTCGAGTCCGCCTAAGTTGAATCTAATGGGACTGGCATAAAAAGTTCGAGTTATACAGATTTTCACTTGCACATTTTCGAAAAAAAATTAAAAAATATTATTATTAGAACAATATTATGTGTACTCAATGCCCTCAAAATCGAATTTCACACAAAATCGAACATTTTTTAAAGTCCCAAAATCATTCCTATTCTTCTTTTAATAAAATACTTTCCGAAAACATGAACTCCCTATTCCAAATCTCCTACGATTTGTCCAATTCAGGACAGTAACACTCACTGAAAAAAACCAGATGATAGTTAAATAGTCATCGTTTAACGACAAGCATACCAGACGCTGTGAAAACGAGACGCTTAGCTGTACTCGCATTGCCAATGAGATTATCTGTTGATTAACATGACACACCAGTAGACGTTTTGTTGGTTAATTATGAAGTGAAATTTAGGTACGCATTCCAATGTTTTAATAAGTGTATATTCTTGCTTTTAATCCTTAAAAACAATTTGGAATCAACCTGAAATAAAGACGAAACTCAACAAAGCAAGTTCCTACTGGTTACTCTTTTCAGTAGACATCTAATTCAAATTCGTTTGATTCGTCAGTGTAAATTGCACATGCACCTCATTCATTCTATTAAACTCAAGACGCTTTTCAAAACATGTTGGTTATTTAATTACGGAGGAAATTTGTAGAGAATAAAATCTAATTTGTTAGGTTTATTTAGATTTGACTCTAAAATGATACCATGAAGGTTCCTTATTTGTTTTTTGTTTTGTTTTATAAATTTGTTTAATTAAAACATTCTTGATTACACCGAGCTTGTTACTGTCACACACTGAAACTTTGGGCGAACTGACATTATCACAGCCGAAGAACGTGTCTAGTGCAAAACATCCCACGAAAATGGACCAATTGGCGGGCAGGCAGAGTTTTGGGGGCATGACCTGTTCTGTTTACAACTAGACTGCCGACCAGCAAGTGGCATTGCCCAACAAAGAATGTGTGCTTGGAAAAACATAATCAGACCTAAAGAAATGCACGCAAAAACAATATAAAAGTCGCATCAAATTTTATTGGTAATAATTAAATTTGCTGAGCAGTACAGCAAAACAACAGGTACTGTACGTATTATTAAATAATGTGTTGAATTTGCGTAGGCTAGGCTACTGTAGGCCTAGTCAAAAGAATCCAGGGCTTTGGTTGATAAATTAATTAAATAGCTAGGCCCTGACCACAACAAGCTTGTTCAAAATGGATTCAATACAAGTTCTACAAACTGAACTGGACGAAAAACTGAACATTGGAGCCGGTCCGGGGGTGTGTCTGTATTGTGAGAGTAAACTGCAACTTACAACATACGATCGTCTGAGCCAAGTTCCACAGCGCGTTGTCTGAGACGTTAGTTTTGACATGGCTAACTTGTTGCCGTAAAAGGATTAAACTTTGTATTTTCCCACGACTGTGTATTTTTCCCATGTGCGCTACTAAATTTGGAACTTCAAATTGTGTGGTTGAAATTACTTTAAAATCGGCCTATCCGGACCGGAAAATTCCGTCGATATAGCCGAAATTCGACTTATAAAAATTTGAATTAAACAAACAATTTACACAGTAAATACATAGGAAAGAATTGGGACTTAAACAGAGTTGACTTTGGCGGACTCGACTGTAATAATTTCGTAAGTTTTAGTATTTTTCAGCTAAATAAAAATGTAACATCTGTTCAAAATCCAACATTGCTCAAAGTACAGATGTTGGAAATGATCTGCTGAGTACTATGTGATTTGGGCTGTCAACTCTAAAATGTTAATGTATAGACAGTAATTTTGTACTGTGCCTTTGGATACAAGGCGCTTTAGGGTTTGGAGGTTCAAAGCAAAGATGTGGCTTTACTTGATTGCTGTCTAGAATAGAGCTCCACAAACATTTTACAGGGACCCACTTTGGTTATCAGTCCTTGACAGAGGAGATGAATTCACCCATTCACAGAGCTGTCAAAACAATGATGATAAGCAATGGCTTAGCCTAGATATCGAAAGCCCATACCTAAACAGTTTTCTAAACTAATTTTAATTTGAAAGCACATCGATTTTTTATCTTCTTTCAGTGACAGAATTTTTTTATGTACAGGGACATTGCTGCGCCCCACTGAAAATATCAGTGTCCCATTTTTTTGTCACGACCCACTGATCTAGGTTAATCCTGCTACAGGTGTGATTTTCAACGAAAACCATTCCCAGATATTATTCATAAAGATATTAGGAACATGCAAGTTTACATGTGATAAGCCTGGTTGAATGGATCACTAACCATGAAATAATACCAATTGTTGAAAAACAAATACAATTCAACAACAATTGCACACAACGCCAACAAATTCCATCCCAGGCGAACCATGTCATACACATTAACAAAATACAATATTTTGTATTTTGTGTCTTGAAATGATCTAAACAGACCTCTGGGAAGGCCAAAGTTCCTAGGCAGCCATTGACAAAATTAAATCCATGAACAAATTTTAAGATATATCAGGCACTCTACAACTACAAAAATGATTTTTTGTAGAAAAGTGCTCCGTGGCAAAAATTATGCTCTTCTCCTCAACAGTGAAGGTTTCTGTACCCACTCCCCAAGGGGCAGATCGAGGACTACTGGATTTGATCAAAATAGACATTCAATAATCCACTGTAGGCTAGATTGAGTGTTGGATGGAAGGGGAGAGGGGGTAATAAAGTTCTTGGGTATTGCTTTAATATTTATCTAAAAAAGTTTTTTTAAGCAATAGGGCATAATTACAAGAACAATACAACATGAAACATAACCAACAGGTGTTTGGAAATTCAAGTTTTCGACAAATTAATGACTTCAGTGTCACAGACGTACGGATGCATGTGCATGAATGACTGCAAAGGTTCCTATTGCTTCACAGCTGAGGAACAAAAAATCAGTGACAATAGGTAAATTGAGGAAGGTAGTTATGCAATCACTTACCGGCATCAATATTTGGAAATAGTATAAGGGTCATTGCACCTAATTGGTCCAAAGCGTCCAACATAAGGCCAAACATCTTGAGGGACTCTTGAATGCTTGTAGTTACCGGATGTAGTAATGCTATTACATATTCCTTTGACTTTGTTCCCGGTTCGATCCACTTGGCTATTACTTCATCATGGTTCGTTAAGTCCGCATGTAACAGTTTATCATAAGATGGGCAACCTGCCAATAATATACGTTCATTATCCTCGCACATTGTAAGAAGTCGGCTCTGTGCACGCTCTGTACAGCATGCGTGATAGTGAGCAAGTTTAGAAACAGCGTGGCGGATGCTATCATCAATTGTCCCGCTAACCTCACCGCCTTCAATGTGTAAAATACGTATATTCATCAATGCTGCTGCAGTTGATAAAGACAGAGCATCGAACCTGTCACCATGTACGACGAGTATGTCCGGATTAACCCTTTTGAGAACGTCTGGGAGTTTGACCAACGCTAAGCCTACCGACTCCACCATGGCTGCCTCATCTTCTCCTCGGACAATCGTGTGAAGCTTAGCATCAACCGGAAAGCCATCTTGTTCTATTAGCCTATAGGTGGAACTGTTTAGAGAAAAAAAAGAAGGTGACTAAATAAAAGCCATCAGAAATAAATGAATACGAACAAAATTATTATAATCATAATACAGTAATAAACTCGTCAAATGAAATATGTTTAAGTTATGATCTCTTTCAAATTGTAACCTATTAGCAAATTTATTTTAATATAAAACAGAAAATGCTTTAAGACTTCACACTGGTCAATAAATTTTTTTTAAATACAATTTACATTTACAATAGATTTCAGAGATAGTTATTTTTAGTTGTGACGTTTTCAGGATTTGAACTTAGGATCTTGGGATTTCTAATACAAGCACTCTCCCAGAAAACCAGCAACATAAATAACTACAGAAATTCTGTCTTTAAAATAGTTTTGAAATGAATTGCTTATGCTTACCCATAATCATCAATAAGATGGCACCCAAGGACGATGACGCTAAGGTGAAATGCTGGATCTTTATGCACCGCGCTCATTATTGGAGCAAGCTTAGAGTAATCGGCACGGTTACATGTTGCTATGCACACTCTCCTCAAGCGACTTGAATCACCCGCAGTGTCCATCTTCATTGTGGCGTTCATTGCGAGATCGTTGTTGTTATTTATGAAATTGTTGAAAGTTAAAAAAGCGACCTGAAATCAAGATAATGAAAATGAATGAACATTTTACATTAACATAGGAAACCAAATTAATCTCATAATGAGTTAATGTAGACTGATAAGAAAGAAGACTATTATTATGGTAATGAGCAAGCAGAGAAACATGTGTGGTGTATGCTAATGAGGCTTGTTGCTTAGTGAAAGGACACCGATTGAAGGTCATGATGAATAGTGGTGAACACCAGGTTTGCAAAAATCCATGTGGCATTGATGTATCAACAAAATACAATAATCTTATGTATGCAGTTTCAGCCATTTACTTAATATAATACAGTATACAGTAGATATTGTAATCCATGTAAGAGTTTGTGTTAAAATAATTAATTCATATATCATGCTATATTATACATAGTGTTAAATATAACAGCCCACTATTTTACCTTTAATACTTCCAATCTATTAAACGAAATCTATGTTACTGTTAGCAAACTACCGTAAAACCTCGAATTGAAGCCCTGGGCTTCTTTTTTTGCGAACTTTAGATGGGCTTCTTTTCGAGGCAACTTTTGTAGAGTAAAGAGGGGGGATTCTTTTCAAAATGAATGCTGTACATTTTATGAATTTGTACTATACAACAATAAATACAGCCACTGTAACATCAATATGTATAATGGAGTGTATTTAACTGGCATTAAAGCACCTAAACTACTGTATAAACCAAGCTTGTTTTTAATTTATTTTGTTGTTTTGAAATTCATGTACAGTGTATATACTGTACTATTTCGAAAAGAAGCCCATTGGCTTCAATTCGAGATTTTACAGACTCAAGCGGTATGATACTTACTGTAAGTACACATGCAAGAGATTATTTAACAAGTGTAACCCTGAAATCATTTCCCTTAAAAATCAAGTAATGAATGTGCAACTATGGTGCACCAATCAAATTTGTGTGTTAAATTGCAATAAAAGTCCTTAAAATCTATGTTATTTTCACAGGTACAACAGTTGAGAAGCTGTTAGAATCTTTCTTACCCCAAACACAACAGTGGAAATGTTTAAATTCTTCGTTTTTTTTTTAACTGACATATCGTTTTAAGCATGTTGAGCCATGTAATTGGTAACATAACACTGGGGTTCTCTACTTTTACATGCTGGATAAAGCACCTGGAACCATTTCATACATTATTTATGATAGCCTCTGAATGAACATCAGCAAGTACCGTTTTATACACAGAATTCTCTCCAAAATTTTTATTAATCCAGATGGTAAGGCAATCATACAACCATTTTAGCAATTTCAATCAAACATGCACCAGAGTTGAGCGCAAAATGCCTGTTTTTTCGCTTGAATAGGCACCAAGACGCAGGTCCACTATAAAGCTGGAACCTATATATATATTTCAAGTGTTTGTTCACACAAGTGGAATAATTCTACACATAAAAAAGACTTTAGAAAGAATAAATAGACTTTATGGATTTTTCAAACAATAATTCCATGATTAAAATAGGACCAAAAACTACCTGATTTTCAGTTAACCACAAAGCCATGCATATTCCAACAAGACATTGAATTAGCTCTATGCAAGCACCAAGGATCAATTTATATTCCATGAAGGGATCAAGGGATCATGTTCAAGTGTATCTATGTATTTGCTGTTTACTTCTTTTTCCTTGTTTTCACAAATGCTATCCTTTTTGATTTAAAAAAAAAAATAAAATAAATAATAAAAATCCAAGGTCACTACGTATAGACAACACTATAACTCCGATAAGGTGTATCTATTTCAAACGATCGAAAAAGAATGAGGACGTTGCATGGTTGCGGGGCCGCTTGTGCTTGGCGCCAGGAGTCGACCGTTCTATTATTTTTTCGATGGGTGTTTCTAGTGAGAGAAAGAATAGATATTAGTCGGTTTATTCAGGTATTAGTATTCACGAAGTAGACTGCCAAAGCAACATATTACTCTAAAAGTTGTACATTAGTCCTCTCAATCTCTAATGTTTACCACCCTAATTGTACTGTACTTGACCTGAGGAAAGCCTGATGGTCAGAAGAGATAAGCTCTTTTCATTTTTCAGAAATATAGCATGAGAAATGTTTTCATAAAATCATACATTGCTTAATTTTTGTGCATTTCTGATATATTTAAAGATGTATTGTCCCATGCAATATACCAAAAGTATCATAAAAATCATTTTTTTGATTGACTCTACTCATTTTGAAGTATACATAAAAATGATCAAATTGAACATAAAAATTAGTATTTAAACAACTTTTACCCATAATTTTACAGTGAAAAATGATAGAAACACACCAGTCAAGGAAATCTTTATTACTTTTATAATAATCCAAGCATAAAAATCAAGGCACATTTTTTTTTTAATTAAATAATTTCTAATCAATGCTCAAGTTTATAATTTGTATGTTACTGCAAAATGAGCAAGTTAATTTTAAAATATTTTTTATTATTTTTGTCATTTTCAGAGGACAATATATCTTTATTAACTAAATAGAACATCTAGTTTTGTGTCAAATGTGAATAAAATTAAAATTAAAGTTAAAATTCAGGTTATTAAGTCATCAAATAATAAACGAACCAAAGTTAAAATTCAGGTTTTATTAAATCATCAAATAATAATCGAACCAAAGTCCATTTTCTATGATCTATTAAATAGTCCATGAATACTAATGCATGCAATTATGCTGGACAATTATTGAGTTCTACAGAGATCCTTGACAATCAAGGCAATATAGGTTCTGTGACAATATGAAGCAAAAGTCAACAACTGATCATGCTGCCTCTACATGGTTTCAGCGTAAAACAGAATAGGTCCAAGTTCAAAGGTCACAAGGTGTTGTTATATTTTGAATGACAGGAACGTGATCTAATCCTCTTTAATAATTAAATAAATTTACTTGCTAAAGCAGTGTACTATACTGTTACGGGTATACGCCTACCTAAATCAAGTATGAAATTTTTGAATTGGTAATTTTTTGTATAATTTTTTTTAATGCATTCAACAGAAAATTAGAAATATAATACAAACTTTCTTTGGTAATTATTTCAGATATTTAAATAATTTATTATTTTTATAATCTTCGCTACACTTAAATTTTTAGCAGCAAATTTGCAACATTTTATTTTAAATAATTTAAAATTTCTTTCTGAAATGAAACTTAGTGTTTTTTTAAGTAATTTAGATGTCAATATAATTTTTTTTTTTAATGTTAATCTGCTACTCGTCTTATTTTTCTGACAACAGTGGATTTCTTACTTTCAGAAAGACTTCTATGACCACTCACGAGTCACAGGGAAACCTACTTGGGACCCCTGAATTTAGCTAAAGAGCACCCTCCAATTCGAGACCCCTTCTAATTCTGATACCCCACCACCATTGTCTTCAATCTTTTAACACAAACCTAACACTCATAAGTGGAGACAAAAACCAAAACCACACCAAATGTTCAGATTCCAAAGGTGGTCTTGAATTGGGAGTGAACTGTAGACCTACTAAACCTCTTTCAGACCAGAAAGGAACACAGCCTTAGTCTATAGATTCAGTGAATAGGATGCAACTCTTGTGTATGACGTCAAACCACCAAATTTCAAGTGTATGTAAAGACAAATGTCAAAAGTAATACAATGATAAGATAATTCAATACCCACACATCAGATACTATCTATTATCATTTACATGCTGAAATGGGCATTCAGGAATTAGCTTTAACAACTTGTTTTGCTCCTGCATATGTTTAATTGGTAGCAACAGAAACGAAATAAAATTCACTTAATTTCCTTCATTTAAAAAATAGTTCTTAGCTAATTTAATTAGACACTTTATACAAAAACTGGCAATGAAGCTATGAATCAACTCTATCCAATTGCCATCGTATTGGCCCCAAACCAGTTCAGAAAATCATGGAATTTTAATTGTTTTGTCTTATTTTTAATAATATATATTATTCTTCCTTATTTTCTAAGTTTATAAGTTTTGTCTTATTTTTAATAATATATATTATTCTTCCTTATTTTCCAAGTTTATAATTAGGATTACTCTCATTTCTTGTACAGTAATTCCCTGACCTCTCTTTTCAAAGTACAGTAATAAAACATGTTTTTAATTTCACACAATTTTAAAAAGTCATTTATACATATTTACTATTTATATCTTAAATGTTTTAAGTAAGAAAAAAAAAATCATTTATATATATTTATTATTATCTTAAATATTGGTATTAAGTAATAAAACATGTTTTTGAACCTGCTTTCCAGTCTTTATTTTTTTAAGTCAATATACATATTTATTATCTTATTCTTAAACATTGGTATTAAGATATTTAATATTCCTTCTAACATACAATACAAAATGTGTTTTACACATCGCAGCCAAAACTTGTTCACAGCTGAAACAGATCACGCTCTATTAAATTATCCAGTCCTCCCTAGTTTTGGATAGGCTGGAAGCCATCATTAGGCCTAACTATACTAAAATCATATTATTTTTAATAATGTGTCGGTAAATTTTAGTTCCATCATTTCTATGACATATTTTCATACATTTTGATGGTGAATGAAGTGAGCATCTTAAAGCAGTGTAATCTAGCTTATTTCTCCACTTTTTTATTCCTTGTTTTGTGTACTTATTTTTTTTAAAGATCACCAGAGGAGGGCAGAATAAAAATAAAATTTTGTTTTCTTATTTAGCAAATAGTTTTACCAAAAACATCCAGACGGAGGCGAAAATAAAAATAAAATGTTATTGGTGAATGTAAAATAAAATGGTTATATGCTTCCAAGTTATACATTTAGGAAGAAATATACGTATCTTATCTTTGGAGATTTCCATGGCGGCGACAGGGGTGCTAATTGGCCAAAAATAAAATTTTATTTTTATTCGACATCATCAATATTTGCAGTCGGCAGGTTCACTAAACAAGGTATAAAAAAGTCTCTCCTAATACGGGCCGGAATTGTGAGCATTAACTTTAAGTACCTTAAGATAAGACTTTTTAATTAACTAGGCCTATTATATTCCTTAATTTATTATTAATACAAAAAGTAATTTAGGCCCATAAAAAAAATTATTAGTTTATCACTCCCTCCCTCATCAGTTTTGGAGAAATTCTGATTTTATTTTATTTTTTTTAATCAACATATATTTTTATTTCAAACGGTCATTTTTCCATCTGTTTGTACTTGAAAAGCTCAGGATTTCTTGTAAATATGTTTACTGGTACAACAAAAAACATATTTTTTAAATATAAATTTTATTCCATTCTTATGACTTTTTATATATATGTGTCCCTAACCATTGATTTACTTGTGAACATTGGTAAAATGGGGGAAGGGTTAGCCAAAAAAAAAAACAACAAAAAAACTTCCCTCCCTCATCAGTTGTTATTCTTTGATAAGGTGAAAAACTATTATAATTTTTTATGGGGCCTTAATATTATAAGGTCCTCCTTAGCTCTAATTCAAGATAAATTTACTAGCAATAATTTAAAACTTGATTTTTATACACAAATCGATGAAAATCCAAAACAACATAGGCCTAGGTAGGCTACATCGAATTCTCTCATCTTTATTGCATAGGCCCGCCTACTCAATTCTCACTGCAAACTAGGCTATGCACCGCCCAAGCGACCACCAAGCCACAGCTAGGCCTAGGCACTACGGCCTAGCCTAGCCTTGTGAAACTAAAATATGATTATTTAAAAACAAAGCTTACATCGTGGGGGTCTGGTTGCAATGACGAACGCTTACAGTCCTTGTTAGTAAATGATGGCATATTTAGTGACCCTTGACTTGAAACTTGCTCCTATTCCCTTCATTAAAATGTGAAATGTGAATCACTTACCTCTGAGTACCAATTTTTATGTACCCGCCCAACGCGATAACTGAGTATTTTGTCCATTTGGTTGGCGTCATCCAATAGAAACGCGTGTTACAAGCTTGTCTTAAGAAAACAATGAAATCCCTAAACATGATTCCTGATTGGTGTCTTCTTTAAAATTCATTATTACGTGGCACGTAGTCCAGATAAGCGGGTTTAGGACTGTGTTGAATATCAATTTATCATAAACTATTCCGCAATTAAATAATATACAGTATCTGAGGATTTCGACCTTAGGAATTTCGAATTTTTCGTTTCAAAATTTCGAATTCGTCCTGGCTGCTACCAGGAAACTAGGTATATTTAAACCCATCCCCCTTTTATCGGAAATGATTTATAGTAGAGGCTAAATATGGTTTAACCTTAAACAAACTCTAATAAAAGGACTTTCTGCATATTCTCGTACGTCTATGCGTAAATAATTATGGAAAAATTTTTGCCGCCTTTTTATAAATGCGTTGACCAGATATTCAGGGTCAAGGGTCAAAGACCTTTATATAACATGTTCTGGGTCATAAGTCTTTAACCACTTGCTCTAAAAGCACAAAAATAGTATTTACACCTGGGTTTTAGGGGTCAACAAATATGGAAACATTTTTGCCTTTAAGCGATGACCAAATATTTAGGGTCAAAGGTCAATGACCTTTATACAACTATGATTGTCATAACTCCTCAACCAGTTCGCCTAGATGCACAAAAATAGTGGCTACACCTAGGTTTTTGGGATCAACATTTATTGAAACATTTTTGCCACCTTCTAGTAGCTACGTTGACCAAATATTCAGGGTCAGAGGTCAATGACCTTTATACAACATATGATGATCATAACTCCTCAACCACTTGGTCTAAAAGCACAAAAATAATGTATGAATTACTATGTCTATGTTAAATTAATATTATCTATTAAAATTGTATATTTAAATAATATAGAAATAGGCATAGCCTAGGCCTAAACCTAGTGACTGGCCTATGTGTGTAGTGTATAAAATTATGAATAAAAAGTATAAATAAATGCAAATTGTGAAAGAATAAAGGAAGAAGGAAGAATAGGATAGAGATTTGGAACGGCTGAAATATTTTCCAAAAATATACAATATTAGTCAATATTCGACATCGAATAAATCCGATTGATGTCGAATTTTTTTACACTACACACATACTTTAAAGACAGTTTAAAGTCTGGTACGCGTTCGAACCGCGGCTCTGGTGGGAGGAGGGTCATCAAAGCCAGCGGGAGTATGCCCAACAATTGGTCTACATTCCTGAGATGTGATGACAACAAATCAGAGTGTTTCCATTAATTGTAAACGAAGTATTTGAGAACATTGACACAAACCACGGATTGTTTGTAGAGTCTCTGGGAGACGGAGCTGTAGCAAACCAGTATGTAGATCTGCAACCATTGCTATGTAACATGAAAGAGGCAGATGAACGTATGTTTGTTCATGTTAAACATGCTGCTGAAAATTGTCCACGCATTCTTGTCAAGACTGTAGACAGTGATGTTGCTGCTATTGAGTTGTCAGCTTTCCACAAAATACCTGCATGGCATCCAGGAGCTTTGGCTCGAGGGGAAGCACTTAAAGTACATTCCAATACACACGATTGCTACTTCTCTGGGACCACAGATATCAACCGCTCACAATTGTCCTTTCACTACTTTAGCGGTTGTGATACAACTTCATCTGTTCAAGGTAAGGTAAACCGTCATTTAACGAAACTTGGAAAAAGATGCCATGTATGATTCCAGTATTCTAGAGAATCTGTAGGAGATGTTAGTGAAACAGACACTAGAAC